TAACTATTAAACATCATTGATATTGCACTAATCCATATGGATATGATAAAACATATACTTATTTTTTATTGCTCAACATCAAGCATCTTTATCTGTGTAAATAACCATTCAGATGTAAAGCACAACAATAAACCGACCTTCATCTTTTGTCAACACGTATTTTAACCATCACTGCAAGTTTTTCAGATCTACCACCACGTAACCATTTAGATCCATCATCTGATCCACACTTAACATCACCACCACTGCAAGTTTTGGTTTCTGGCCAGTAACAACTCAAAGTTTCACATCACTATCACACATCATTTGATTTCACGGTGTAAAGGTCGAGTCCATTTTAATTCAGCTCCTGGTTGAGTTTGGTTGATCAGGTTTCGACTCGGTATTTGTTCAACGCGTATCTTTCAATTTCGTTCTTTGTTGTTCAGAGTTTTGCTTGAAACTTTGTACTTGGAGCTAGCAGCACTTTCAACACCGACAACAAACCTTGAAACTCAAGTGCGGGTAAATGTTTCAGACCCTAAATTATTTGAGTTTATTGCGTATAAATTGTTGTGGTGTAATTAGATGTAGATGATGAGTGCATTTTTGTTTATTTTCAGCGATGGACTATAGACTGTGAACTGTATGAATCATTAATATGCATATGTGTGTGTTGTGTTGCTAGATTTTTTTATTGTGTTGCAAATTCAACTTCTTAATATCGATTTTTGCTCGACTTATTAAAAATTGATTCCTACATGAATCTACTCTAAATTAGTTTATAGATAAATTTGACACTCTAGGTCGATTTATTTTTCCGATTACTTTTAAGCATTGTAAATATTGTATATAACTTATCGAGTTGTTGGATTTTGAGTCAATTTCCAATTCAATTCCATAAACTCTTGGTCAAAGCCAAGCTTGTTTTTTTCAAAATCTTTTCATAATTAAAAAAAATGCTTTAAAACACGATAAATAAATAAATCATGATTCGTCTCACACTTTTCCTAATAACTTTTTGGACCATGAGAATACCTAGGCACGGGATTTTGAAGTCTTGGCGAGCACAATAATTAAAAACCTAAAAATCCTTTATTTATTTTTTCGCTTAATAAGTAGAAGATCACAAATGATTCACACTAACACTCTTTCGCAAAACTAACTAAATGAGTCTCATTGAGTAAAATGGATGTGAGGGGTGCTAATACATTCCCTTTGCATAACCGAATCCTGAACTCGCTCTTGGTTGTGACGGCCATCTTTATCTTTTCTTTCGTGGGTTTTATCAATATTTTCCCGTTCCTTTGGAACAAATAAAGTTTGATGGCGACTCTGTTGTATTTCGAGTGTTCCTTATGATTGTGTGTTTTTTGCACCCTGACACCTACCTGTTCGTTATCACCAACAACTTATTGTGCTCTAAGTATCTCATATGTATACACCTTCTTCAAGAAGCTAAACCTAGGATAAGCCCCTCGGATGATTTCAAACTCCCCCATGGCAACCTCTGGGTTAACTCCTAGATAGTCTATCATCAACTCTTATGCCTCTTATTTGCTAACCTTCCCATGATCTAAAATCTCTCCCCTAATCGGAAGATGCAGTAGACACGAGACATCGTCCAGTGTGATTGATATCTCACCACGTGGTAGATGAAATGATTACGTCTCTGTGTGCCATATCTCTATAAATACATTAAGCATACCATGATTAACTGTAACATAACTGGTCTTGCACAAGTCTTGCATCCTAGATATCTACAAAACTTCCTGAAACCACATCTCATTAGGCTAAGGCGGGTCTGTAATATTCTGCCCATGGTTAGTGAATTTTAGTGGATCATGGTCCTTCTTACATAGTTTAATAAGAATGAATCTAACAAACATAATTTACTATTACAACAAACACAAGTTAAAAATAATGAATCCAACTAATTTTAACCTCTCAGTCCCAAATATGTCTGACAGCATGGTTCGGGTAAAAAGGAAGTGATGATAAGTCTGATGGGTCTCCTCTAAACCCATGAGGTGCCTCTCCTGCCACCTGGGCCTGGGATTCCTCAAGTGTCGTTGAAGTCTACTGGGCCTGGGGTGCCTCAGGTACGGCTACTTTCTCTTGGGCCTAGGATGCCTCATGTGTCGTTGTTGTCTCATGGGCCTGGGATGCCTCAGGTGTCTCTAGTTTCTGAGGTACCTCTGGTGACTCGGGTACCTTTGCATCCTCGGGTGCATGAATATGTGAACTCTGCCGTCTACGAGAAGAGATAGGAATGTATGCATGAGGAGGGGACTCTCGCCTCCTACGGGAAAAGGAATACTAGGGAGGAAATACATGAGCCTCAGAAGTTGATGCATCCGCATCCACTGAATAGAGGTAACATGAGCCTATGATGGTTGACTATTTCCTTTCGAATGATGCATGTTATGTAATGTTGTCGTGTCTCAATCGAGATTGTCTATCAGCCGTAATTTCTTTAAATAGACCACATCACAAGCGGTTACACAATGAGTTTTGTACAAAAAAAGGCAAAAAAATGCATAATGAGGGATTACAAATATGCATCCTCTGATTTTTTGGATAAACGTTGCAATTTCTGGAGATACATCTCTGTAATGACCTGCCAACTCTCACCACCATCAATGGATAAATGCAGACCCCAAATCGTAAAAAATAATGCATTGATCGTAAAAACTACCTATCTAACTCGTTTATAATTAGTTATAAGCTATCAAACATGTAAAATCTATCTACTTCGTAACCTAGAAATCAAATTCTACACATTTATACATAAACTCAATAAACTTTATAAAAAAACTCACAAATATTTGCTTAAAGTTGCTTGATGTTGCTTGAAGTTGGATGTTTGAAGTTGCTTGATGTTGTTTGATGTTGCTTGAATATGGTTTGAGGGAGTTTGGGAAAATGAGGTTGAGAGAGTTTAAGAAAATGGATTTTGAGAGAGCTTAAAGAAGTGACACTACAATAAATAGATGTTTTTCATGATGAAACTTTTACGTCATCCAGAAAAAGCTGAGGTTTTATTCTAAGATGCACCATATTATTTATCAAAAAAACAACAACTTGTTCTTTCGATTATTTTAAAAACCGCAGGTGATATACCATTTCGCACATGCTTCGAATCTCAACTACTGCACTTTATGTTTTTATTTGTTTACAAGTGTAAAATAAATGATCTAGCACTTCAGTTTCTTGATAACCCGAGGGATAAAATAATCAGATTTTTACTATAAAAATACTCGCTGAACATATTTCACCCTAATGAGATCTTATTTGTAGCTGCCCCACCGTCAAATGCATCATTTTTTTGGGATGGATTACAAAAATGAAAAAAAAAATGTTCTTCTACCTTGAACAAAATATTTTTCCAGCTTTTGCAATCCATCTCAAACAATAGTGTTGATGTTGTTGTTGTTGTTGAAGGTTTTGAACAACTATGATTTATTCATAAAAGTCTTTACTGATGAATTGCAAGTGCAGAGAAAAACATTTTCTAATTTTTGGAACAAACACCTTATTAGAAGTTGATGATTCAATTGCATGCACATTATATACGCTGGTAAAGACGGTGATAATGATAACATCAACAATCAATCTTGGATACAAAGTTCTGCCAAGCATAAACATCTATATAATGGATTACAAGTGCAGAAAAATCATTGAAGAGATTTGTTGTAAACAATTTATTTTAATATTATGTGTAGACAATGTAATATTAATAATAATAATAATATTAACTATTACATCGACTTTTAACCTTAAACTGGGGTGACAGTTCAAAATT